CATATGAAAGATCTTGGTCTTTTAAAATATTTTTTGGGCGTAGAGGTTGCCCGAAATTCGAAAGGGATTTTCATCTGCCAGCGCAAATATGCTCTTGATATACTTTGTGAAACTGGATTTCTGGGTGCTCGACCGGCTTCCACTCCTCTTCCTCAGAACCAACGACTGGCTCTAGCAAGTGGCCCACTTCTCACTAATCCAGAGCGTTATCGCAGACTTGTAGGGCGCCTCATCTATCTCACGATCAGTCGTCCTGACTTGGCATATGCGGTTCATGTGTTGTCTCAATTCATGGGGGAGCCGCGACAGGAACACTGGGACGGGGCGACCCAGGTTCTACGGTACATCAAGGCCTGTCCCGGGCAAGGATTGTTTCTTCCAGTACAGAGTGATCTTACCCTTAAAGCTTTCTGTGACTCTGATTGGGCTGGGTGTCCCTTGACTCGACGTTCTGTTACTAGCTACTTTATCACTCTTGGCAATTCTCCGGTATCTTGGCGAACAAAGAAACAAAGTGTCGTTTCCCGATCTTCGGCTGAGGCCGAATACAGGGCTATGGCAACCACTGTTTGTGAACTATAATGGCTGAAATCCCTGCTTCTCTCCCTTGGTGTGCGTCACAAACAACCCATGCGGTTGTTCTGTGATAATCAGGCAGCCCTCCATATTGCAGCTAATCTTGTCTTCCATGAGCGTACGAAACACATTGAAATTGATTGCCACTTTGTGCGTGACGAAATCCAACGAGGTGTTTTGTGTACTCGCCACATTTCCACCAATGAACAACCGGCAGATCTCTTCACAAAGGCTTTGGCTTCCGCTCCGTTTTCTCATTTGCTATCCAAGCTGGGCGTCCAGAATCCGCATGCTCCAGCTTGAGGGGGGGTGTTGGGCCGTGTTCCTTGGACCACAAGGCAAGAAGGAAAGCAAATCCCATTCTAAGTGGGATTGCTTTTGATTTGTTTACTAGTTCATATTTAGTGATTTGTTTCCATGTAGGAGTAGAATTCCTTGTGTTTTGGTCTTTTTCCTCTCCTATAAATAAAGGAGAAACCCCTTGTAATTGGTAGAACAATTCAATATACAGAAATATTTTGTCTCTTATTAATTTCTACAAACTCCAATGGTGGGAGGTATCTTGGAGAGGTATATATCTCATTTACCTCTCCAAGTGATCAAGTTTACCTTTTCAAAAAAGGTGCAACTCCAATGGGGGAAGGTAAATCAAAAGGCAAAAGAGGAAAAAAATCCATGTTCATACATTATTGGGGAAAAATTAGTTGATTTACCCTCTTAAATCAAATTTCAATTATTAGAAAAGAAAATATACATTCTTAAAAAAATCACGGGGAGGTAAATTTGAGGTTTGTTACCTTTGTTTTTTCTTGATTAAATTTTTTAATTTAAAGATTTTATAAAAATACAACTAATTTATTGAAAAAAAATTAGAATGTCAGTTTTGAAATAATTAAATATACATTATGTCCAATTGCACATGTAAAATTATAAATATTCGAATAGAAAAAACTTAAAAATACAGGGTGCAAAATTAAAAAACAAAGTATCCTTTTTTTGTTAATTCTTCACTCATTAAGTTTTACAATTACAAAAATACAAATTAAAAATTTATAATAATACATTCAAGCAAAAATAGAATAACTAAAGTAATTGATGAAATAAATTTAAAAGATGGGAAAAGTTGATATACCTCCCCAAATGAAGAAGGTAAAGATACCTCTTCAAAATTGAAAAAGGTATAATGTCTCCTTATTTACCTCTCCCATTGGAGAATGATTTTTGATGAAAAGAGGTATATATCACAATTATTCCTCTTTACCCTTTCACATACCCCTCCCATTGGAGTTGCTCTTAGCGCAAAAAAAAACGCATACAAGTAACACTAATGATCACTACCAAATTTGGGAGCAATGATGTAAATAATAGACAAATGTGGGAGTAATGATGTAAATAAACAATTTTGGGAGTATTTATGTAAAATCTATAATTTTTGGGAGTATTCTTGTCAATTTTGCCTAATCTGTTTCCACATCCTTCTCACATAAAATATAATTTGTGTTGATAGAAAGATACCTGCTAGTTTGCAATCACCCTCCCATGAGTAACCTGAAAAGAATTTGAAATATAGGGGGGGTGTACTTGTTCCAGACCCAATCCTTCCATCTGGGCATGATTCTTTCCCCTTGAAGGCAATCATAGCTTGGTTGGCCAGATATTATAGCAATCTCCATTGGGCATGTCTCCCAACTCGTCTCTGACCTTTATCATCTCTCTAGAATGTAATCACCCTCATTTTCACAGAGTTAACAAGTCTGATTCTGGCCATATATATGATAGATTCCAAGCGCTCCATGCATCCAGTAATTCTAGTAGTAAATTTATTAATCAGAACATCACAGTCACTAGCTCTCAGTCTAGCTATGGTAATTGGATTCCCCATATATGTGAAAGGCAATTTTCCCAACATCATCAAAGTCATATCCGAGAAAGCATTCGGCAATGAATGCTTTCTGGGCAAAGCGTGAAGAGGACGGTTCATTCTGGGCAGTTTCCTAAAAGCACCTTGTAAGATATTCCATCACCAAAACAAAAAAGGAGAGAAGACATTGAATGTCCCAGCCTCAATCTCTTCCCTCCTCTATGATAGCCATGATGATGGCCATTGATAATTATAGTATAAGATAGGG